GGGGGGGGGGGCGGGGGCGCACATCGCCCGGAGGACATAGCGAGCGATGTGGGACTCGGGGTGCGTTCCCAGTGTGCCACCGCGCGGCGGGCGCCTCCTCAAGGGCCTGGGCGTGGGTGCAAGCAAGCGGCGGGCGTCCTGGGCTTCGCGCCGGCCGGCGCGGGACGGTCAGAGCCGAGCCCCTGTGGGGCGGCCGGTGGCCCGGGGGGCGGGGGGGGGCGTGCGGCCTGCCAGCGCTGGGCCTGAATCCCGGCGCCGGAGTCGAGACCCGGCCGCTGGGGGCACCCCGATGCGCGGGGGGGCGCGTGTCTGGGCGCTGGAGGGCGCGCGCGCGCGGGCGGGGGGTGGGGGGAAAAAGAACCCGCCGGCTGGCGCGCGGCCGGCACCCTCTCTCGGCCAGTCCCGCTAAGGGGCGTGGTTGTCCGTGGGCGATGTGCGCGACCGGCCGACCACCAGGACCGGGCTCTCCGGTCTTCCTTTCACACTGCCATGGTGGGGGGCCATCTGACGGGGCTGTGGGGGCGCGCGTCAACTGCCGCTGCTGCTATTGTTTTACCCCCGACGCTGTTGCTAATCATGTCGTGCGTGTGGGCGCGGGGGCCCACGCGGGGGTGCGGGCGCACCGCCCTCCCCTCTCTCCCCCCCCCACCCCCTGCCCGGCTCGCCCTCCAAAAGCCCGAGGCCAAGGCCTCGCCGGGCCGGGGGGGGGGGCAGGCGGCCGGAACGTGCTCCGGGCGCGTGTGTGGGCGGGCTCCGGCCGCGCGAGCCGGGCCCCTCCTCCCCGGGCAGTTTGGATGGCGGCAACCCCCTTCTCGGGTGGAGGAGCTGGCGTCGCCCTGGGGCACCCCGGCCTTCGGGCGGGCCCTCGCGACGGCGCCCCTACCCCGGGCCGGCCGACCGGCCGGCCGGCGTACACATACGCACACATACGCACACACACACACATGTGCCCTGCAAAAAGGGCGCGGGCCGGCCGGCAGGCTTCCCACCTGTTGTCAGGCGGGGCAGCCGGCGGGAGACCGGCGCGCCTGTGCCCCGCGCCGCACGCCGGCCC